TGACCTGAATAAAATCGACAAAATATACAATTATAAGTTCAGATATTGCTGGAGAGTTTGCAAGTTTTATTTGCAGACTTCAAGTTGTTACCATTTGTTTTGAGCCTGTTTATTTCAAAGTTAATCAGCAGTAAAATTGTTTTATGAGGCCGGTTCAGCCTGTAGCAGATTGTAAAGGCTCAGGTAAGACATTCTCCTGCCATGAAATACATTCATAACACCAAACATTTCCCTCTAAATATATCACCTAACTAATTGGGAAACCTGTTAAAAGCCCTGAGAATATGCTTTTTCAACAAGATAAACCTTTAAACAAATAAGGGAGTCCTGACAGATCCATTTAAATGACTGTTGTCAAATTATTATAACTTATATAGGTAAAAACAGGTTTTAGAAAGCTGTCTTGGTGATTAATCTTAATTGTAATTTAAATATACTTATACAAGAAATATATTGTCTAAAGAGGTAGTTTGCAAAAAAAATGCCTACTTCTATATAATGTGTTGTATGTCATAACAGAAATGGCAAAAAAAAGTATTTGTTTTGGTCTGTCTGAGTGAAACTGGGACATTCAGTTAAAGGATTTCCAGAGTTTTCCATGGGGGCCCGGGGCTAGACGGCAGCCGGGTTAAATTTCCAGATGATGTTATTCCACACAGACCTGATGGAAACATGGCAGCACCCTGCCATATAATGGAGGAGGACCAGAAAGACAGAGAGAAGAAGAGAGAGGGAGAATGGGACCAATGCCTAGTTTGACTGATTTAGTCCTACTGCTTCTGAAGAATCTATAAAATATTCTGTGTACACTGGTAGTAAATCCAATCAGCTTGCTATCAAGTAAGATCTGGAAGGAAAAAACAAACAACAAACCATACTGGGAGGATATGGTTGGGGTCATCACCGATGATGACTTGGATTTACAGGATTAATGCAAAGTTCTCCAAATTACTGGATGCATTTTGTACAAAAAGATGCACACGTGACATAACAGTTGCTGCACCTTTAAACCAACAGCTGTTGAAAAAACAAATCTGTCTTTGAGAGGCAAATCTGATGAATATCTCCTGCTCCTATAATGACCTCAACACAGTGTGCACAATTTCCTGACACAATCAGTCTGACAAGTTAAACTGCACTTCAGACAGCACTGACAGCCTGACGGTGTTTCCCCCACTGGAGGCTAGAAGTCAAAACAGTTCATAAATAAGCTGGCCTGGATCTCCACACGACAAACATCCATAAAAGAGTCTGTCTGATGTAATCTTCTTTAAATCCAGTCCTTTAAATCTATCCCAGACTGCAGAACACCAACAGTGTTTCACATCAGTTAACCCCGAAAACAAAGAAACCTCTCGGTTTTGAAGACGGCAAGATATTACATAGCAAATTTATTTAAACTTGACTTAAAAGCCTGAAACCGTTGTATTGTAACCTGCTGTACAGCTGCCAACACATAACCTCACCTGCCTGAAAGTTGCTCTCAATACAGATACAAAATGACTCATTATTAGCTAATAATGACAATCCGCAGCATCTTTCTCACCTTCAGCACTTTTTACAGCCTTGAGTAACTGCAGAGATTCTGTATATCACTGTGAATACTATCAAAACATGGGTGGCCACAGAGAAGTGCTGTGCTACTTTTAATACTAACAGAGTTAAGAGATCACTTCACTGAGCCAGTGGGACAAATGTGAAAACAATGTATGTGCGCTGGTTTAATACAATGAACAAAGGTCCTACTGTCAGTATTTATCTTCAACAGTTCAGACCACATTGACTTTACAAAGATTATCCATCTGATTTGGATAGACACACACACACACACACACACACACACACACACA